TAACCATTGACGATTTTTCTATTATAGACGATACCCATTATCGCATGGATCTGACGTGCAGCCTGATCGTTATGACTTCTCCTTGAAAATTCACCAGATCCCCGTCTTGATCGACTATTCGCAGCTGCAGGTGATCTATCGTCTTGGTAGCGATCGGTAGATAAATGACGTGTGATGGCACCTCTATGATCTTGTATCCGGATGGCACGACCGGAAAGAATTGGTGTATGGTGTGCACTTTACGTTCGTTGGTGTAAGCGCCAGTAGTGACGTTGTCGTTCACGGCTTTGGCTATACCTGCAGCACCGCCGGCCAACGCTCCAGCGGCACTGAGACCCGCAAACACGGGGACGAGAAACGGCAGGAAGCCTCCGACTTTGGACGGTACGGGTAGAATGCGCGGTGTTCGCACGTTGCGCTTTCCACCTGCTCGTTTGACGGCAGCTTGTGCACCCTTGAGAGCAGATCTGATAGCTACTCCTGCATCGTTGCTAGGAATCATCGATCGTTTGGCTTCCTCGATGACTTTCCTCAGCGTTACAGACCTTTTGGCTTCTTCTTCTTCTTCTTCTTGAGTTCCATACCCAGTTTTGACTTGGCACCCATTACGTTCGCTACAGACCAGGCCGGTTGCACTTAATTTCGCTGCACAACGTATTATTGTTAGGTTTAATCTGAATAACGATGCTTCCAGGCCGCCGCCTTCTCGGCGAGAGTCGCGTCTTTAGCGAAAACGCGCTTCCAAGCTTTGTCGGCCAGTACCCTATCCGCAGCCCCTCTGTGTTCGAGACTCTCTCGATTCTTCGAGTAGGCGATGTCGTGCTCTTTGCAGGCTGCGTCCAGGGGGTTGATGCCCGGATCGCCTCGCGCGAGTCTCTTTGCTAGTTTCGTACCGGGCCCGCAGTACTGATAACCGGGTATATGTAACTCAACGGGTAGACTGTTGATGATCCTGTTGACTAGTCCTCTGCCACGATGAGATTTTTTCTTCCCAATGCGTTTACGCTTAGAATGCACGATCATGTCCCTGCGGTGAAACAGTTCCAACTGAACATTGATCCTTATAAACTAGTCATTTATAGTTTCCACGTTAGTTACATGCAAAAGTATCGTACTGCTGATATCGCTCGTAATTGTACTTTACACCACCAACACCGAGATATCGGATAAGATCCCACGATGAGATTTTTTCTTCCCAATGCGTTTACGCTTAGAATGCACGATCATGTCCCTGCGGTGAAACAGTTCCGACTGAACACTGATCCTTATAAACTAGTCATTTATAGTTTCCACGTTAGTCAAGGTCGAGGTGAGGTTCGAGAAACAGTCCGTCAGGCTACCTGTAACGAACTTTGACAAAATCGTGCGAGTAAAGGAGAAGAAGGAGGTCAAGCGACACGGCAAATTACTGCCAGGCAGTATACGTGCAGTGTTTTGCAGACCATCCAATTGCGGTAAGACGAACGCACTGCTCGCTCTCATAACCCATCCCAACGGATTAAGATTCGAAAACGTCTACGTATACTCGAAATCGCTTGATCAGCCAAAGTACAAGTTTTTAGAACGTTTACTCGCATCCGTGGACGGCGTCGAGTACTTTCCCTTTACGGAACACGAACAAGTGCTGCCACCGAACGAGGCACGTCGAAACTCGATAATTATTTACGACGACATTGCCTGTGAGAAACAAGATGACATTAGAGCCTTCTTCAGCATGGGACGGCACAGGGACGTTGACTGTTTCTATCTCTGTCAAACGTACGCTCGCATTCCCAAACATCTGGTACGGGACAATGCTAATCTGCTCGTGCTCTTTAAGCAGGATGAAATGAATCTCAGGCATGTTTACGATGACCATGTAAACACTGATATGACTTACGCACGGTTTAAAGACCTGTGTTCGGCATGCTGGAACGGTGATAAGTATGGGTTTCTCGTGATCGACAAGGACAGCGACCTCGATGGAGGTAGATACAGAAAAGAAGTCGATTGCTTCGTGAGCATAAATGAGTGATCAGTGAAAAAAGTGAATAGAGTAACGTTTTGGATTCGGCAGCGAAAACATGCAACGCGGAAAATTTCGGGAGCAAAAAGACATTTTAGGCCAAATCGCTAAAGCCAGCGATGCGATTCGCAAAAAGCATAGAATGCTAAAATTGGGTAGAGAGAAAGTCGAACAGACGATGAGTGAGGTTTTGAAACCGGTAGTGACTCCACTGCATAAACTAGTGACTGCATTTCGGCCTTAGCGTAACCTTATCAAGGACGAGATTAAGGATAAAGTAAAGCAAGACGTAGAAGCGGATGATACGTTTAGATCGGCAGATGAATCCTTCAAGTCGCTAAAGAATGATTCTTTCGAAGAAGAAGAGGAAGAAAAGGAAGAAGGTAAACATGATGACGAAGATGAA